CAACACACAACACCCAATGCACAACACCCAACACCCAACACCCAACACCCAACATGCAACACACAATACCCAATGCACAACACCCAATACCAAACAGTGCATTTGAAGCACATGCCACCCAATTCATGCCAGTGCCCAAAGAGATGAGAATGGGAATGAGAGTAGAAATGATTTGAAAGGAAACAATAAGACAGAGGAAGAGATAAGAGACAGTGCACTTGAAGCACATGCCACCCAATTCATGCCAGTGTCCAAAGGGATGAGAATGGGAATGAGAGTAGAAATGATTTGAAAGTAAGAGATAAGAGACAGTGCACTTGAAGCACATGTCACCCAATTCATGCTAGTGCCCAAACAGATGAGAACGGGACTGAAATGGAATTAACATGATGGAAGATGGCCATGAGTTTAAATATCATAAAAATAACAGTTACAAAGTATAGAGCGTTTTCATGTGACGTCACAGCGACCATTATGGGGTACCAAAACAATACATTTTCTATCCTCCGGGAACTGAACTCTATTTTTATGCAAATACTGTGCAGAAAGTTTCTATTGTTTATGGCTGCCTTCTCACGTGACTGAAAACGCTTTATCACTATCAAATTAGTTGCATCAAGAGGTAAGGCAGCAAAATACTTACGCCATGAAGAACAACTACTCCACCAAAACTGTGTGCAACAATCACGATGTGCTTGGCCTTGGCGTCCTTGATGAAGTTGTTCCAGACATATACAAAGTGATCCTGGGGATTCTTACTGCCCTGTAGAAAACATGTTAGGCCATGTCAGTGTTATTGGGAAAAATAAGTAAGCATTAATGACGATGACTGGAATTCAGATCATTAGATGTTTAATGTACTGCACATGTACTGTGGAACATAGAACCAAAGTGTGATGCCATCAAATTCCAAAATTTGCAATAGACCTAATCCACGGTTTTCTCATCTCAGGCCAATGTCAATCAATCAATCAATCAATATTATTTAGTACTTATTAATATAACACAATTGAGAAATATGACATATTATATAAAAGTACAAGCTGCCTATGATAACTTAAAAATTAGACTAGATAGGTAGCTACTTAGTATATAGATTTAAATTTAGATTTAAATGTGTCATTCCCTAGAGTATTATTTCTTTGTTTAA